GACCACTGCTACTTCTACTGCTACTAGGTCTACTACTACGACTGCTACGACGACCTACTACTACAAGAACTATTAATACTACTGCTACGGCTACAACTACTACTACTACTACTACTACTACTACTACTACTACTACTACTAGTAGCACTATCACTAAAACGATTATCACTGCTGTGCTGATATCGCGATTATTATCCTTATTATTCTTACGACTACTACTATTACTACTACTACTACTACTTCCATTACTACTACGACCACGACGACCACTACTACTACTACTACTACTACTACGACTACTACTACTACTACTGCCACTACTATAACTACTAATCCTACTACTACTACTACTACTACTCCTAAGGAACAGTATCATCTGTAGATTGTAAAGAGTGCTGGTTTGGCTTGGGGATTGTGTTTGTGTGTCTCATTGGTCTCCCATTGATCCCTGTTAGATCCTATATATGCTTTTCGATTGCCAGCTATTCCGATTGATTCCGCATGGTCCTTGTTGGGTTGTGCTGATTGTTGTGCAGCCCGACGAATTCTATGGAATCGCATTGTTTTTTTATTGATTTCTATGGGTTCCCATTGATACCCACCAATGTTTGCAGATCGCTGTGGGCTTTTATCGATTCCTATGGATTCGTACGGTTCCCGATTGATCCTCAAGGCTTTTCAAAAAAACGACGAATTATAACAATATTTCTGGAACCTTGAGGCGTCCTAGGGATCCTAAAGATCTTGGAAGACACCGCAGGGATCCTTGGGGAATTTCTGTGGAATCTTTAGGCACCATCAGGAGCTCAGGGGCGTCCTCAGGAATCTTCGGGAACCCGCAGCAATCTCAGGAACCCGGAGGATTCCACAGGGATCTGCAGGATTCGTGAGAAGCCCTTCTCAAGAACCCCCGATCGCGTTTCAACGAATATTTTGCACCCCCCCGGAATCACCAGCGTTGATTAAACAGCCTTAGGAACCTTTTTGAAAGTATCCCGGGATCCTTGGGAGTCACTAGGTGCCCAGAAGCCAACTAGGAAGTTTCAGGAAACAAGCGGAATCCCCAGGAAACCGTAGGGTTTCATAGGAACGGTGTCGGAATCGGGAGGAACCCTTTTTTTTATGAATGGTTTCCCGGAGTTCCCACGAGCCCCCAGGAATCCCCAGGAGCCATCAGCGTTGCGCTGACGAGAAATCTCCAGAAAACCTCAGGGACCCTTTGGAATTTCGAAGGGTCCGTGGGAATCATCATGAGCCCAAGGGCGTCTTCGCGAGTCTTCTCTGCAGGAATCCGCTAGTCCAGAAGAGCCCCCAGGAATCATGCGGGATACCTCTTGCGAGTCTTCGGGGTATACGGATCGCGAGGAAACTCCTATCACCAGCGTTGACGACGAATCTGCATGAACCAATTTCATTTTCCAGGTGCCCTAAGGCATTTCGGGAGTCTTTTAAAGCATTGGGAAGAATCCTGCTGTAAGTGCTACGTAGGAATGGCACGTTGTGCACCCAATACTCAATGTTATGTATCGCCCCAACCAGATTAACTGGCAACAACATCTCCCAGCTAAGCGGCCAGGAACAAAACACGCTACCGTGTTATAGGTATTACGACATCTACAACCAGTACTACGACTACGACGGCGACAACGACGAGTACAAGTAGTACTACTACTATTACTACTACTACTACTACTACTACTATTATTACTACTACTACTACTACTACGACTACTACTACTACCACTACTGCTACTACTACTACTACTACTACTACTACTACGACTACTACTACTATTACGATTACTACTACTACTACTACTATTATTACTACTACCAGTATTACGATGACTAGTACTACTACGACTTACTACTACTATTACTACTACTACTACTACTACACGTACTACTGGTGTTGCTACTACTACTATTACGACTACCAGCACCACCACCACCACTACTACTACTACTACTACTACTACTTCTACTACTACTACTAC